ACACCCTTCTTCAGACAGGTATACCTCAAGTGCACCACTAATTGATACGACAACTCATGTCTTGTAATGGTTGACAGCATCAGCAGGAGTTCGCCAAAGGACCCCGTCTTGTAGGTATGTGTCGGACATACATCTCATGATCTCATTCATCACTTCAACTAATCCATGGTTTGGTCTCCATTTTAGGGACAATACTGTTGACTATTGGATCGTTGATGATAGTGATAGCCATCAGTGGATTCGTGGCCGCATTCTTCCTCTATCGCAATTATGAGAGGGAGAGACGTCTGGCGATGATGTCTCAGCCCAACCCTCACACCATTGCCAACCCGCAGACTGAGGGCCCGGTGCCCACCAGTGGCGTCGACTATCCCTATCCCACGCAAGTGGGCTACCAATACGGACCTGGATATCAAGCGGTGTCTCAGAATGTGGTCTATAACGCGACCACTGAGCCACACGCGCCCACCATTTAGATGTGACCACTCACTAGTTAGGCCGTACCCATGCCTATGCCATACGTGCCATTGCGTGTACTAATCAAAGCATACATTTGTTTTTTATATCAATCTCATTAATTGTCTTCATTTCGGTTTTAATCAACGACTCTATAGTTGTAAAGTATTTCACTTAAAAGTGACGACTATTTTATTGACTACTTTTTATTATTTACATTCATTTAGTATTTTAATTATCAAATCAATGAATCTCAAAGTTCTCAAAGTTTTTATAATTTGTTTTGTTATAAAAACGCACAAAATCTCTAATACCATATCAGTAGTTATTTTTAAAAAGCTTTAAATTTGAAAAACTATTATATATTATAATTAGACAATAAAATGTTTTGAACATAATTCAATTGTGAAGTATTCATTCTAAGTTATATGTGTTTGTGTGTGAGTTTCAAAACAACACACCCTTAACACTAGTTTATGATCATCAGGGGAGTATGTCATTGGGTCTGTAATACAGACTGTAGTGATGATAGCCCTGAAATTCCGTACCATTCTTGTTGTGGCTATCATTTAAGTGGTAATTCGTTTAGTTTAAGCACTTTTTTAAGTTTAATTTATATAAACAGATAATTTAATTTGAATCTTAATTCTGAATAAACTTTTTGAATAATATTGGAATTATTTAAAAAATAAATTCCACTCTTATAGCATAGAGTGAATACCATATTTATGATTAGATTCTGTGTGTATAAATAATATACATATAGTTTAGAGTTAGAAATAAATATAGTTTAGAAAATTGGTTCATTATTTATTTAATTAAGTTCATTATTTAGTAATATAGTAATTATTTAGTTAATTTAGTTTATTTGGTTGGTAATTAAGTTAATTTCTAAAATTAAATTGTAATCATACTTTAAAATATTAAATTATTTGCAATTATAAGCAATTAAAATTAATTATCTCTACTGATGAACACATTGATGATTATTCTTCGGAATCATTTGATTTCTATGAGTGAATGGCCACCACTTCTCACTCATCTCAAGACTACCACTCCTTAAGACACTTATAATCAGTGGGACAACCATTGAGTTCCGAAATAACATGGATGTGAACGTATTGGTCAAGAAGTGCCTAAAACTCATATCAATTAAATTATTATAGATTAATATTGTATATGTTTTCAAATAAATTCTTATAATACATGTTAGTTATACTCTGTATGTACAGTATTAATAATAATGTACAATAATTTTTATTATTTGATAATACATGACTACATTTTAAGAATATTAAAACTTTATATTTTAAAACATTTGGATAACTTTATGCCATGTCATATGATTTTTGTATTATTTTTAAGTCTCATTCCTGTAAATTACTTATGATACACAACTATATAACTGTATAAAAAGTTACATAGATTATATAAATAATTTTATATTAATCATTTGGTGTGACGTTTTCTGATGTTGAGAACTTTGAGTAAATATTTGATTTGAATTTTAAATTGACACTTATTTCAAATAAGTTATTTTATTAAACATTTTGACAGCTTTTCAGGAATAATATACTGTACACATACAGTACCTGTACAGGGTATGTTTGAAGAGTTGATAAGCAAGATATTTGCAGTTATTCTCAGATATTTCGTGGGTTTTGGCTAAAATTCCGTCTCATTTCTCATACACTTTTTAATTTAAAGTCTAGAATCTAGACTCTAGATCCTTTTTGAATGTTTATCTATAAAATGATAAGAATTTATTGGCAAAATTTTACATTTATTGTCAAATAATTTATGCTAAAGAGATATATTTTGCACCATAATTAGTGCATAAATTAAAACATATTAATATTTAACTGTATGATAATTTATGATTAATAGTGTTCAATGTAAATAAGTATCATTAAATCACATTTTCATTTACTAAAGTATATAATTATAATAATTGGCTTGAATTGTGTCTCATTAACACCTCACCAGAAGAATGCCTGCATTTAAGACTTTGTATCGGTAATGATAATACAATTAAATAATTTCTTAAACTTAATATTTTTAAAATTTTGTATGAATTATATAGAAAGCGGACACTATTCCTGTTCATATCGGTCTCACTATTCGTCATTTGTCTCATAGTTTTTGTCAATTTTGTCAACAATTACATAAAGAATGACTATTTAGGAGACTATCACTCGGAATCTCATTTAGGGGTATATAATAGATATGCCGTCTCTACCGACTCATCCCAGTGCGCGCACATAGGCAAGTATGTATTACTAAATTTATTTTATAGTGAATTATTATTAACTTATTTTGACATTAATTTCAGACAAATTCTAGACTCAAACGGAACGGCAGCCGACGCGGCCATTGCAGTGCTGCTATGTATGGGCGTTACGATACCCCACTCCATGGGCTTAGGAGGGGGTTGTCTTATTTTAGTCTACAACTCGACCACAAAACAGACGGTTGCCATCGATGCCAGGGAGGAGGCGCCCAAAGAGTCGCACAGAGACCTCTTCGCCAACATAAGTGGCGACCGCAGACTTCCACTCTCTATAGGAGTTCCCGGAGAACTGGCCGGTTATTGGGAACTACACCAGAGGTTTGGGCGACTCGAGTGGTCACAGCTTTTCAATGGTGCCATTGAATTAAGTAGAAATGGATTTTATGTTTGCAATCATTTGGATAATGCCCTCAAATATATGAGTAGACATATAAATAATAAGTTCTCAACTCTTCGGTAATTTAATATTTTATAAATAATAGATAAAATACTTAATTTTGTCATTTGTAGCAAATTATTTATAGATCCAGATACTAATGAATGCTATAAACGGGGACATAAAATGAGCAATGAGAAATTGGCGCAAACTCTAGAAAGATTGGCTAACAGTTCAGATCCTATTGAATTGTTTTATCGAGTAATCGCTAAAGATATTATCAAAGATATTCAAGAATTCACTGATAAATCCAATTTTACATGTGAGTACAGATTTGAATAAAAGTATTACTTTTTAAAAATAACTCCTTTTTAAATATATAGCAATAATAACATTAGAAGATTTCCACGAATATAAGTCCAAAACTAATTTAATTCCCGTTAAAACTCATCTGAAGAGAGGGAACTACACGTTACACTCGTTTCCATTGCCCGGAAGTGGAGATTTGTTGGCATTTATGTTGAAAGTGATGGAGCAGTACGAGGACGATATGAACCACAAGACCGGCAAATCACTGAACAAAACCACACTTTTTTACCATAGACTCATCGAGACATTCAAATTCGCTTTCAGTCGACGAACACTTCTGGAAGAGGACACCGATTATAACAACCATTTTGTCAAACAATTGACTTCCGATGAGTTCGCCAAAGAAATAAAGGAATTAATCGACGACTCGAAGACTTTTCCCATAAAATCTGGAAAATATGGAAACAATATTCACATCACTGAAGATAAGGGAACGGCTCACGTGTCGGTCATCGACGGTAAGGGTAATGCCGTATCAATCAGCACAACCATCAATTCATAGTAAGAATATATTGTAGTATACAATCATAACTAATACTTGATCACAAATTTAACATACAAAATATTATCCAAATTTATTGCACTACCTATAGCTTTGGGAGCAAAATATATTCAAAACGCACGGGTATTATATTAAACGACGAACTCTTTGATTTTAAGGTTGATTATCAGAAATATAAATATCCGGCAAATGAAACAAATCTAATAAATCCCGGCAAACGTCCGCTCAGTTCGATGTGTCCGACAATAGTAACCGATAGTAAAGGTAGAGTACGGCTAGTGATTGGGGGCGCCGGCGGTACAAAGATTACTACAGGAGTGGCATTCGTTATGCTAAGACATCTGTGGTTTGAAGAGGACATTAAGAAAGCTATAGACGCCCACAGACTTCACCATCAGTTCAGTCCCGATCATATCGTATATGAGAAGGAATTCTCCGAACAAATATTGAATGGATTATCAAAATTAGGCCATAAGTTGTCCGAATTGAAAGGAAGGGGATCTGTAATTATGGCTATAAGTGCTGATCATAAGCTTTCAGCCAATTCTGATTACCGCAAAGGGGGTGATGTCGATGGTCTCTAATCATTCATAAATTGTTTCTCAATTAAGTTATTGTTCATGAATACCATTCTTATACTAATTAATACTTCATAATGTATGTGCAATTATAATGTTTACATGAGATGAATGTCTGGAATAAAAGTTATTATTATGTGATTTGTTTGTTTGTTAAATATTTACTGTTGAGTTCATTTGATTGAAATTGAAAAATAAAAGTCTTTATAAATGTTGAATACATTTCTTTTATTGTAATACTTTCTATAATTCTCCTTGAATTTAAAATAGCATACAATATAAATCTCCCACGGATTCAAGTATTCATTTCAATTAAAATGAAAATTTATTTTCAATAAAATTCAGTATTACTGCAGAAATCAAGAATTTTAGTTAAACTAGATCTAGAAGTTATAAAACATTTAATTTATTAAACTTCATCAAATCAACTTATTTTTATTTTAAAAACATAAAATTGATACAATGTTTGATTTTATAATTAAAATAAATATTTATTAACTCACTTATAAGCAAGGTCAGTGGTTGTGTTTAATTCTCATATCAATACCAATTGTTTTTCAATGAAGTCATAAGTTATTGAAAAATAACCAGTTTTCTTTTAGTTTCGTTTCATATGTAGTGTATCGTAGAAAATATTTTGAAACAAATCACACAATATTAACACAAATTGTGAATTTTGGTCAAAATTAAAACAATATAACTAATACTGAATTTAAATATTGTATTAAAAATGTCCGGAAATAATAGAAATGTGATTATAAATCAGCCAAATGTGAACAAACCTGAAGATATAATTGTGGGCAACGATGTCAGTGGTGGCAGTGATGGCAGTGATAGTTGTTGTGGTTGTGGACAGTGTTGTGGATGTGATGGACAGTTGACAGAAGGCTGTTGTGATTGTTTCGATGGATTCTCGGAATTCTTCGAAACCATATTCTGTTGCAAAGAGTTTTGTTCACAATAATGAACTCACAAACTATTGCTGATATTTTGATAACACTTTTATACGTCAGTTTTGAAGCTATTATCCATTTAAACATAACTTTCATGAATAGAAACTAATAATATTAAGTATATACTAATTATATAAAAGTTTAATAAACTACACTGTGTAAGTTCTTGAACAATAATTGCCTGGGTGAGTGAGTGACAGGTTATTCAAGTTTTTCATTGATTCACACATATGTGTATTGAATTGAAAGTCGTGTATTGATCGCACACTTTGTAATTGATATGAATTAATGGAAATAATTTAATTATTCTGTTAATAACTTACTTCTATAATAATTAAGTTTAACAAAGTTTAACAAATATTGTATTTCTATAATAAAACACATATAATACTCATTAATATATAACATGAACACAATTGTCCCCCAAAAATACAATGTGTAAAAGTTTCAGACAGATTTATAACTACTAGCCTAACCTCCCCCCACTCACATATCCTCCTATTATTTGTAACATTAGTTGTGAATTGAAAATATAATAAATGTATGAAAAGTCCCTAAAAATGTTTAAAAAATGTTTTTATGAGTGTTTTTGTAATGAAAACACATTTTCAGAGCATTTGATCTCATTTTCAATTCATTAATGATTTCGTAATTGAATTGAATTTCTAAACGATTATAAAATGAGTGATACTTTGGACGACACGGACGACGACTTCGACATCTACGCAGACCTCGATGACGATCACCACAACCATAACCACAACCTCAACATCGGTGACACCAATTGCGGTCAAAGTAGTGATGACATGAATCAGACAAATGACTCTTTGAATGGTATTAGTGTTGAATCCAAACTCACTGTAATTAAAGACATTACCGCCGCTGACATCAACACTAACCACAAGAGTGATCATCACGTGACAAATGACTTCATCTTAAGTGAGTTAACAATTCTGGAGAAAAGCCTGAATAAGACCGAAGACAACAACAAATCACTTCTGAAGCAAAACGAAGAGTTGAGGAAACAGTTGGAGAATAAAGACAAACAACTATTGGTTCTCAAGACTAACATCTCTTCACTCTATAAGACAGCGAAGGCTGAGATCGAGAGGAAGAAGACGGAGATCAATGGTTTGCGCGAAGAATTGGATTCAATTATATTCAGACGACTGAAGAGGAGTGACGCCAAAGATGACACAAATGCGGATCAATTGAATGGAGACTTTGGGGATAAGAGTTGTGAACAAAAAGTCTTTTGTGAGAAGAGTACCAATACTTCGGACAAAGAGTTTAAAGATTATATTCATTACTATAATCGCGTTCATAATAATCATAAGGTTTTGTATATTTCTTACAATTAATGGTTAACTGGTTTTAATTGATCCCTAAATTGTCTCATAGAGTACTGAGAGGTCAACAAAAGTTGTGATCAAAGAGTCAAATAGGAGTCAAAGAAGTCGGAGTCGAAGTCTAAGTCATTCGCGCCGTCGAAGCCCTTCCCGTAATAGGCATCGAAGTAGACACGGATCTAATGGTGACAGAGATTCTAAGAGTTATTCCGCGAAACGTAATGAAGACAATANGGAGTCAAAGAAGTCGGAGTCGAAGTCTAAGTCATTCGCGCCGTCGAAGCCCTTCCCGTAATAGGCATCGAAGTAGACACGGATCTAATGGTGACAGAGATTCTAAGAGTTATTCCGCGAAACGTAATGAAGACAATAATAGGAGAAATGACAGCAAATCGACAAATGAGTCCAAAAGACATCGCGAAAAGGAGAAGAATTGTGACAAGAGATGAGACATTGAGTGAAATGATTCCCCAATTGTGGCCAAAATCTCTACTAATCTGATGATAATTTTAAATCAATTCTTAATCAAATTTATTCTTAATTTATATACAGGGACGGGAGGGCCCACCTGTTTGGGACTGTTATACATTTTATTGATTTATAATAATTTTATTTTGTATACAGTTTTGTATAATGTATGACTTTTGTATACATTTTTTATATAGTCTATAAAAAGCCAATTAACTGAACAAGAAATCTTTTATAAAGTTTATTATTATTTATTAAACAATTATAATGTTTTCAAATGTATTACAAATACTTGTGTTTGTAGTCATCCCTCCGTTGGTTGTATTCATCGATTTGATTGCGGAAACTATCGGTCCATGAGATGAAGTCCTCGTGATTTCTCACCGGATGCCCGATCTGTCACCCCATCGGGTCCGACGCGGATGTGTCCGTGTCTTACGTACTTCACTGTCAATACAACACATGTATTAGCGATGGGAGGAAAGGGATGTCAATACTGTTTAATTTGTTTATTGAAATAAAAATTCTTTTAAATTAAGTATTAGTTTAAATACAAGTAAAAATAGATTAAAAATATTTATTTTTGAATAGTATCAATGTTAGGACATATTGCATTATTTTTTACAATTAGATATATTACTTTTCTATGAAAATAAATTTATTATAATTTTACTATTTATCGTAGAAATTCATAAACAAAAAATCAAATATATTCTATGATATTATGTTTTAGTACTCTATGTTTACAATAATTAGAATTTTATTATATAAACATAAATTAAATTCTAGCAATTTAGTAAAACATATTTCTCATAATTCAAAAGCAAAACATTAACATGGTTCAATCTCCAACTGTGTTATACAATTTACATCCCTTTACAGTATTATTAAATTGAATAATAATTCATAACTCCTGTGAATCGATCTGATGTTTGACCGAAAGTCGTGTGACAAATAAATTCCCAAAACAATCAATTGTTTGTGCAATTTATTAATTTCCAAATATATGCCATTTGTATGAATGAACTCATTCAGTCCGGTTGGTTGGGGTGGGGATCGATCTGTGCGTTTGGTTCAAAGTTAGCAAAACTTTTATAAGTTTATGAATAGTATTATAAATAATTGATTTGAAACCTCAGAATATGCGGGTGGAGGCAGCGCTGGACTATAGTTGTGAACGTAGGCATACATTGGTGTGAATCGTGTGTCTCCTATGATGTCCCCGTCCTCGTCGTCCCCAATATCTACTGACCCACTGATGCATTNTGCGACTGGTATAGCGTGGCGTGAGGTATGATCGCCCGTCGCGAGTGGTTCTCAAACTCAGCCGTTATTGATATGGATTCGCCTTTGGATTGCATTTCATGGGTAAGCCATTAGAAAACAATTGATAGATAATTGATATGAAGTGAATACCGGGACAATAACCCGTCTCGTCCAACTCTAGCGCCGAATACGAGGGCACCGGCGGGTAGAAAGTGATGCGGGCTTCCGATGGCCTCATCAGTGGGTTTCTATACTGGGAGTTGTGTGCCCTGAGGGGTACTGTGCCCACGACGATGGGTAAGTAAACGGACAGATTGTATGCGATGAGGGGTATCTGTAACGTGATTCTGACGGCATATTCCACTTTAATGAGCGAACAGTTGACAATAGACGGCGAAACGGCCGGTATTTTCAGCAGTTGTGAGTCCCAGTTGGCCGTCCGTCGTGGCTGTATCGCCAGACCCGTCACTATTGTAAACTTGAAGCGACGGCACCGGGATTTACCGCTGGCCAGGAATGTCTGCGACTGGTATAGCGTGGCGTGAGGTATGATCGCCCGTCGCGAGTGGTTCTCAAACTCAGCCGTTATTGATATGGATTCGCCTTGGTCATTGGTAAGCCATTAGAAAACAATTGATAGATAATTGATATGAAGTGAATACCGGGACAATAACCCGTCCTATCAGTCCTGGCGTAGAGGTGTATGGGCCCCGACGTACAGCACAGACAACACAATGATTTTTCAATACTATTCTCCACTGGAATCTGTGGTTAAAAATAGATTGTTTTAATGTATAAACTGATAAACTGTGGTGAACTCAACACTATGTACTGTATGTTAACTTATGTTAAATTTATTTAATTATTTTGACAAATATTTTCAGAAATGATTTACCGGTATTATTTTTAGTAAATTTGCTTGAAAACTGCTTTCAAATTTAATGAAATTATTTACTATTGTATATTTTTAACATTTTATATTATAAATAGATACAGTATAAATAAATGCAAATGTGTAATAATTACTGTATATGTGCATAAGCAAATAAAATATTTGATAGTAAATTTTAAGAATATAAAAACTTTATTTTTTAAAAACATAGTTATCTCAAACTAATGGATAACTTTATGGTTTTGTATTATTTTTAGAATCACTTTCCCGTAAATTACTTATGATATACACAACTATATAACTGTATAAAAAGTTACATTGAAAATGAGCATAATGATTATAATCATGTTATGCAATTTCATTAAAAACCACTTCAGAGAATACAAATGAATAAAGGTTTGTGTAAATTGTATTAAAATAAACATAATAACATTTGTTAAATGAAGTGAAATTGTGTAATAAAATTCACATCAATTGTTATCATTAGTTATAGTTGACATCAATTAAAGTGTTGGCAAATGCTTTCAAATAAAAGAGTAATTTTGTTTTGCTTTGCGATTATAATTAAATTGAAATTTAGCTCACAAATCATGATAATATCTGACAATACTCAAAATCCATTGACATTTCGATCAATTGAATAAATAGCATAAAGTAAAATAAACATTAAAACAAAAACAATTTTAGTCTCATTTTCTTTGGTATTATAAATATCATATGAAAATCGATTGTCTAAAAATAAAATCATCTCATTTCATCGCAAAGTTGTTTATTCATTAAACAAATTATTATTACTGAACACTTTTATTAATCAATCATAACATAAATGTAACCCAGTTAATTGTCTGAAAATCAATTAACACATAAGACTCACCAAATATTCTCGTCTATTAATATCGATGGGACTGATGACAGTAAATGCTTTTTTGGTCTTATGGTTGAACCCCCACGGCTTCTCCACCTCCGCTTTCAGCCAATACCTAACGTTTCCATATTTCCCCTCAAATGATGTGGAGATTCCTCTGCATTATATGCACGAAGAAAGCAATTATTAGTGAAATTAAAGTAAACATAATATAAACGCATTCTTGAACTAAATCTGGTGTTAATAACGAAAAATATTTATATTACCCGTTCGGCAGCTGAAATACAAACAAGAATTCGTGGTGTCCTTCGGATAATACTTCTCGACTATCACTCGATTCTACATATAATTGCATTCAAATAAGACATATATTTATATTTAATATATATAGACATATATATTTAATATATTCATATATTCCGCAGATATTAATATGCGTTAAAATAATTTATTATTTATTTTCCACTCCAGTTATTTATTTGACTTAGAAGTTTGGAGTTTATAAAAATAATGAGTAATTCTCAGTAATACTAATTTTAAATATATATTTTCAATTTTAAATGCATAGAATTTTAAATATTTTAATTCGTGTTTAAACATGTTTTTTATTAAATAAATATTTAGTCGATATAAGTTTAGTTTAGTCTAAATGTAGTTGAATCGTGTTTATAAAACATGATTTAAACATATTTTAAATTCCTTTAAAACATATTTTTAGTCAATATTTATATTTTATTTTAAAAATATTATGTATAATATTTGAAAGCAATAAATTTTGAAAATATATTTCTAAAAATATTTATAACCTATAAATTAAAATCAATAATTTTGATTAAATGATCAGTAAAAATGTGTTGTTTACCACTAATTTTAAATTGAAAGACTGTTTAATAATTTGTGAGACTTATGTAAGTTTTAGGATTTGGTAAAATGAGCATTTTGTTAATAAGCTAAAGGATTATTGTATTGAATGAATGAGACTATTATGACAGATCTTCTAAACTACGAGTGCACACCTGTAGCTAATGTTTAACTGTTTATTTGCATTTCACAACCTCTTAAGATTACTACAAATTCCTAACTATTTGTTGGTATTTATATTTAAAACACATATTTTTCGGATTACATCCTTAAAAATATCCTGTATTATAGAGAATATTCTGTATATTAAACTTGGTATGTTTAGTTTATTTATGCTCACAATAAATACAAATAATTAAATCAATTAAATAGATTATTTAAAATAAAATAAAAATAGTTTCAAAATATTAATTATAAAATAGATATATTGTTATACTGTACAGAATAATGTGAATAATATACTGGCGTACATACCGGGCCCACAGAGCACCTGCTTCTTGAAGAAGTATTCAATTTCCGAGTTGTAGTGTTCAGTATAAGCTCCGAGTCTATTGCCAGTGGACCGGGACTCAGTCCAGT